TTTTATATATATTGTTGTGTATATTTTTGCGGGGCTTGTGTCATTATTTGTCCTAAATGCTTTGCCCTTTTTTGTTTTGAAATTTCTTTCCGTTTTGTTTGCTGTTTTTATAAATATTCTTAAACATTTCCATTTAAAAAATTTTCACTATAGCCAAACTAAATATTTTCGATTTTCGATTCTCGACAAATGATACCATTAACTAGGTGTAGAGTAAAAAAGAATACGAAAAGTAAATATATTAACTTAATTAGTTTTGTTTATTTAAAAATTCTCAGCTATTTTTTTGTTTTCTTCTTCTTTTATAACTAAAGTATTTATTTTTTATATATTTTTTTTTTGGAAATACGCTCCGAAACCGTTGAGCAGCTATTTGTTGTTGTTATCGATTTTGTAATCGGCTTGTTGTTGTTATCGTTACAGTTAAGCCTCTCACATAACACGCACTTAACGCAATTTAGAAACATTTTGATTTAACTATTTTTTTTCGCTCGGTCATATACGTATATATGTATATATGTACATATATATAATTGAATTCCGACACCTGTATAGCTACAAAATATATATATATATATAGTATATGCCCAGTTATACTTATATATATTCATGTTATCACCGATTTCACTTGATGTCGAGTTAAGTCTGTGTGTGTGTGTGTGTGGGTGAGTGTGTTCTGAAAAAATTCTGTGTGTGTGGCTAAGCTTAAATTTGAGTTTTGTATGTTTCACTGCATTTGCTGCTTCTACTAACTCTGCTGTTTCTTATTTCATTAAATTTTTCCTATTTATTGGTGTAAATCAATTGCAGTTGCTTTTTTATTTTGTTAGGTCAAATCCTAAGTAGCTAAGTACCACCTGGCTCAACTGGTTCAATACAAAAATCTAGGTAAAAGTTCTTCAATTGGTTACACGTTTACGAGTGTGTATGTTTATTAGTGTGTGTGTGTTGGAGTCTGTGTTTGTCTGTCTAGAAAGTTAATAAAGTAATTTTCGCTTGTTGTTGTTGTTGTTACATTCAGATTATTATTAGTTAGGGTATGTTTTAGGTTAAGTGTATGTATATATGTATATAGAGTATTTCCTTTCATTCATTGTTGACTGTGTAGATTAATATATATATGCCATGATCTATATATACTTTATATATTCCTCATTTTATCGACAGTCTTGCGCCTAGAATTGTGTATTTTTTGTTGTTTGCTTATAACTGCCAGTGTACCTTATTATGGGAGTACTTTTTGCATATAGTCTATATAAAATTAATTGTTTATTTCTTCTCTTTTTTTCACGTTTTTTCTTATATATTTTTTTGTTTGTTTTGTTTTTTCTTTTGTTTTGGTTTACATATAAAAAACTCGTGCTACATATAAGTGCTTAAATACGTTATGTTATTGTATATACTCATTGCATAAAGTACATCCATACATTCATATAAATATGTAGATGTGTGTGTGTTCGTATGTGTGTGTGGCTGTGTGTGTGTTATGTATTTATATAATAGTTATGCTCATAATACATATACATAAATATTTTAGTTGCTACTCATATGGTGTATACCTCAGCATTAGCTATATATATATATATATCTCTCAGCTAACTGTACAAAAAACCTGCGCTGCCTCAGCTTCGACTTATTATAATTAAGAAATTAAAACGTTACGCTGATATAGTATTTAATTATCATTAAATTTAGTCAGTATTGTGCTAGGTTTTGGTATTCACAAACTTAAAATTCACATTTTGAACTAAAGTGAAAAATTTCATTGAGGAACTTTACCAAAACTTCAAATATATGTACGTGTATATGTGTCCGTATGTATGTGTATTAGTGTGTGTATTTGTCTTTTACTAAGCTTAAATGGTGCATTGTTTATGTTTGTTTGTTTATCAGCTAGATTTAGCGCTTTATTGACTGCTTGAACATGTTTGTATTTAACTAGCTGTAATTACATTAACTAATATTTAATTAATTGTTTTAATTGTTGTTGTTTTTTAACTTTAATTTAACTTACTTTTTGCGAAGTTTTGCTCCTACTTTTTGTGTATGTGTGTGTGTTTAGTGTGTATTTCTTGAGTTTTATTTACAATTGTTTCTCTTCCTCTGTGGAAAATAAATATTTTATAAATCTCCCCAATTAAACTAACGTCTAACTCCTTATACTTAGTATTTCTTTTTTTTTATTTTTGTTTGTTGCTTAATCTCTAAATTCTTGTTTAGGCAGTTTTTTCATTCAAATTTTTGTTCTTTCTTTCGTTTTGTAACTCGTCTATTGGATTTAGTTTTAGAGTGCAATTAAAATATGTTTTTTAGTTCATGTGTTTTTGTTTTTATATAAAATTGGTAAAACTAAAATCCATTTTTATTAAAAATCGAATCATATCAACTATTTTTTGTATATATCTATCTGTCCGATGCCTTTCGCTTACAAAAGGTGCCCTTGAAAGTAATTTGTTTCTGTATAATTTGTTCATGTGCAAATTATTTAAAAATTCTT